CTTCGTGGCATAGAGCCAATGTTCGTGGCATAGAGCCAGTGTTCGTGGCATAGAGCCAGTGTTCGTGGCATTGCGCCAGTGTTCGTGGCATTGGGCCAGTGTTCGTGGCATTGAGCCAATGTTTCCATCGTGCCAATCATGTTCGTTGCAGAATACGAATTTCCATCGCCTTGGACTGATGTTTGTGGCATTGAGTGCCAGTCGTCGTAATGTCTTGCATTTCCCGAGGTCGAGCTTGCTCCGTTCAGATTCCCCCCCCCCTCCCCCTTCTCTGCCATCATCACCGAATCGTGTTTCAACCCCGCATGCCGCAAATACTCGTGTACTTGTCTCCAATCCCTCATCTGCCGCTAGCCCATCTCCTTGCCATCCTCTTGTCACTTTACCGGAGCCCTGCCCCTGTCTTTATTCTCCTATCTACCTGCTACTCGTGCTCATGTAGCATTCTCCTCTGCGGCACACGTCCATTTACACATTAATTAACCATCCCCCTCTGGTGCCCGTCAGCCTAGTCCGAGCTGAGAACTGTCGGGATGGGTATTTGAGTTGTCGCAGTTCAGTCTCCAATGTATACACATCACACCTGATGTCCTCAGATGGCAACCAAGCACGAAGTCTCCACTCGCTCGGACGCACTTCACGATTACCGGCATTATAAATGAGAATACTTAGTGTTTGACACATGCTACGGACATTGATTTCGCTGGACTCTGAAGCAATTGGCGATACGTCTCTCGCATACCAATTCCGGGGTTTCTTGGTGGCGCACTTACATATGGGTCATTGGGCCGCTTGCGAGATTCATGCACAATATTGCACAGCACGCATTCTACGTACATTGTGCAGTCTCGCATTCGTGGTACCGATATGCCCGTTGATCCTCTTCCCGTGCTCACTGCTCACTCCATGCATTGGATCTGCAGGGTAACATTGGGTAGATGGTTGCCGGTGTTCTAGATATGGTGTTCTTGTGTTGCTCATCTACCCTCTGTTTTCCTGTATGTGACAATAAATTGGATGGGACGTGGGTGCTCCGCGATGTGGTACTGCGCCGTGCCATGTGGCGCGGATAGGGCCGTTCCTCAATGGGACCTCCCCCGAATTATAACTCCTCCTCCTCCTCCTCCAGTGAAGCGCTCACTGGAGGAGGGGACTGACTCAAGCAACAGATATATCGCCGGCTTGTCACACACTCTCGCAACCGAGTAGAACGGGACGGGTCATGCAAAGCACGGTCGCTATGCTCCATCCGGCGGCCTCACGAATGGAATTGAACGTTGACGTCTCGGTTCTTCCATGAGGATGGCAGTCTCCGGTGAACGTACAGGTTATTATGGGTACCTGCCTTCTATTGTCTTGCTGTCATTGATGCTCGTTCAGCCAGGGGGGGCGTCAGAATGTGTATAAAGGCTCTGTCAATGGTGCTCACCTCGTTGACCATCCAGCGACCCCCTCGCGAGGTGCTTCACGCGTAGTTGATCAACATCATGAAACTGCTCTCTCTTCTTTTCGGATCGCTTTCAGTGTCCGCGGTGCTCATCGCCGCACACCCTGGCCCGGTTCTCGTGTCTCAAGCCACGGAATCCGCGTTCGACGCATTGTGAGTCTACCACCAGATCGCACACTTCTCTTTGTTGATCTCTTTTGCAGTGCAAACGACACCGCGGAGGCCAACGCTGAAGAATACTGGTTCCGCTATGAAGCAAGCGACGTGACCTCGAAGACGACGATCCTGGAACTCGCTACTCGTCCGGGCCAGAAGGTATGCTCGTGCTCGAAGATCTCCTTGTTTGCGCTTGCTGAATCTGCATCTGCATCTGGTCCAGGACTACGACGACCAGGCTTACAAATGGATCTCTACGGACGCGAGCAAAGTCGACAGACGTGAGTATTGTAGTGTCTCGTACAGACGTCGACATGATGGAGTATTGACTCGTAAATGCAGCGCGGTCCGGCCGCATCCCAGCGATCTACGTGCTGAACTCTGGCTCCCGTGCGAGGATTCTCGGCGCCGCGAAGGACTTCGACACCCAGGTCGGCAAGAAGGAAGCGACGGAGTACGTGAAGAAGGTCAACGAGCACGATGACGTCGGGATCCAAGGAGTTGCGAAATTGACGGGCGGGAAGACGACGTTGGAGGTATTCCGCGGGAGCGTGAAGCGGTCGGTCTTCAAGCTGTCTAACTCGGGAAGCTCCCAGTAAGCTTCATTTACTATAACTTCTCTATGGGGTACACTCATGGAATGGTTGGGTCCGCTGGTAGGTTCCTGACGTGGACTGGTCAGACAAAGTCCAAGACCGCTAGCAAGGCCGATCAAGCACTGTTGAACAAGTTCTGGACTTGATCTGTCGCCCGTGCACCGGACACATTTTGTTGCCTTCGGACTGAGTGCATAGTCCCTTTCATTGTATGTAATTGGCGGGAAGCGTGGATCCGACTGTGCAAAGCAAGCAGCGCGCATTGACATTGATGGGTGTATCTTACGATGTTTTATCGCAATTTGGGACATTTATATTTTCAATATACGATTGTCTGCATAAGCTGCACGTAGCCGTAATGTTGGGTAGAAATTGGATTTCTCCGGGCGCCCGGGCGTTACTCGGAAACCTTTGTCTTCCTTCCATCACCTGTTTTGAGTCAATAAAAGAACTTCCTCATTCTGCCTCCAACTCCCGGGCCTGCATGTGAGTATAGTGCAATGCTTGATCAACTTGGTGTTCACGATACCAGTGTTTGCACGCCCCCGCGTTTGCCATGTCGGCTGCCGATTCCACGTCATCCCGAGATCACCCAGGTATGTCTCGTCATCGGGCTCGCTCGAGGAAAAGATGGTTGATCTGAATCGTTTCGGAAGATCATATTGAACACACTGATGGTGTCTGTGTCATCGATCCTGCCTGGTTCTCGTCGGAAGGCATCCTAAAGGATAGTATACCCGAATCTCGCGCCCGCACACGAGAACATATCGAAACCCAAGTAGCCTCGCTGGCGCCTGGCCTTGTGCTTTCTGACGCCTCATGGGCATGCTCTTCAGCACTCAATTCAGCTTTCGCCACTCAATCGACCTTAGTACTAGTGCCTCTCCGCCAACAGCTCATCCACTACAACGCCCTTGCTCCCGTCAACGTGCTGCCCGCGGAGCTACTCTTAGACATCTTCACGTGCCTCGTGCTGGATCCAGCGACTCCCATATGGCTGGCTAACCAATACCTCGCGTGGACGAGCGCGGTTTGCACATATTGGCGGCAGACTGCGCTGTCCTTCGCAGATCTCTGGACGCGCATCGACCTCCTTCGCGGCGCGCTCGCCTCGCGCGCCTTCGCGTGCTCCCATCCTCACCCTGTCTCCGTGGACTTCACAATCCCCCACCGCTACCGGCGACCCACCGACCTCCAGGATGTACGTACGGCGATCCACACGCACGCAGCGCGCATCGAGCAGATGGCGTTCGCCATCCCTGCCGGCGCGTGCGACGCGCTCCTGGGACGCTTTCCCCCCGCACTCCCACTCCTCCACACGCTCACCTTGGAACGCGCAGGCGGCTCAAGCGCGCTCGTCGTCCCCGACCCCGCACGCCTCCAGAGCTGCTCGTCCATCGCACACGCCGCCACGCCCGCACTGCGGAGCCTCACGCTAGTGAACATGACGCTGCCGTGGAGGCTCGCGCTGTTCCGCGGGCTGACCGCGCTCCGCGTGGAAGCGACCTCCTCGTCGCAGTGGGGTGTGCCGAGTCTACAGGAGTTCCTCGACGTGCTCACAGCGTGTCCGGAGCTGCAGGAGTTGGCGCTCAAGAACGCAGGGCCGATGCCGCGCCCGCTGACCCCGCCGGCGCGCCCGCTCGCGCTGCCGAGGCTGCGCAAGTACACGGGCATATTCACAGATTCTCTGTACGACGACTCCATGCGCGGCGCGCACATCCTGTCGCACCTGTGCCTGCCGCGCTCTGCGGACCTGGTGCTCACGAGCTCCGGACGGCTGCTCGTGCACGGGCCGCACGACTCGGAATCGCTCCTGGCGCGGTTCGACACGCTGCAGCTGAAAGCCCGGAGCCTGCTGTTCTCGTCTGCAGACACGGGCACAGGGTCTCTTGAGGTTGTTGTGGGCGCGAGCGGTCAGCACTTGCCTACGTTCCTCCCTCTCCCCGGTATTCGCACCGTCGTCGTCAGCGCCGCGGATAAGCTGGACATGGAATACCGGGTGCCTGTGATGATCGCGCAGCTGGCCATGGACCGGCTGGATACGATTCGTTTGGAGGGCATATCACTGCACTCTGCACCCAAACTTCTGTGGAAGGCACGTCGTGTGGGCATGAAGAACTTGAAGCTGCAGATGGTAGACGTGCCGGAAGCAGACCCGGCGAGGGAACGTGAGTTGAAAGAATGGGTGGGTTCGCTTGAGTTGGCTTTGGCCGAGGCGTATGTTGTGGGTCAGTACGCCATACGGACGGTTTCGTACTAGCGTACAACGTGTAGTTAGGATATGTACAGTTTCACGGACTTTTCCGTACCGCCCCTCTCGTACGCACCTCGTGTATACCGCCCACCTCAGTGTCTTTCTTCCTGCGCGCTGAGGTGAGCCAGTTCCCATTCTCGTATTGTGTTACCGTTTACTTACGAGCCCGTAGCGATACCGCGTATCTTTAGGTATATATTTAATCATTAGCGTCTTTCTTCCTGCGCTGAGCGATACCGTGTATCTTTAGCCTGAAACAGCGTATACGAATAAATGACAGTTGTAATTCATAAATTCAGCGTGTTGACAACATGCCTTTCGTTCTACCTCTGCTTTCACTAGCCAAGTTGAGACCCATGGTCCAGGTGTGCATGCATTCTTCAAAGTTCAAGTCGTCTTTGCAAATGGACACCCAGGAAACGAAATTTCGATCTCCTTGACTACATCAGCTAAGACCTTGTGGATCGTAACAAGTAGTGGTGACACGGCAGGCACGACTTCTAGTACTCTTACATTACAAAAAAGAGGCATAGGAAAACTATACAAGTGCTCGGTGTGAGGATCGAACTCACGACCTCAGGATTAATCCGCCGAAGGGCGGCTCATACGTAAATATGAGACCTGCGCTCTAACCAGCTGAGCCAACCAAGCACACTTTAGTTCATCACAAGTGCCACTATAAGCTACCAATTCTCCATGATAGCCTTATAATTATTTGTGTGCTACCACAGACCAGAATCAAGGGCAGCCAGTCGCGGGCAGTAGCAGCAAAATCACGCATTTTATTTCTTAGCAGGGACCTCGATGGTCCGTGTGTATAGCACCTTGTTGTGTACCCCTCGGAGTAGGAGGGCCAAGAGCCGAGGCGCCGGCTGCGCACGATCTACGCAAGCCAGCTGCCCCGCGCGGACTCCGAATGCCATGCGTATGGTCCGCCCGCCGCCGCGCAGCACTAGTACTGGCACTGAGCATATCAGATAGGTCAATGTCACGCCACAAACGCCCCATGCACCGTGCACCGTGCACCGTACACCCATGTCCTGCCCTCGCAGCCTGAGCTTCATTACTTCTCCTACGGCAGACGGACGGGCAGACCGGGGGATTGGGATCCTCGAGAGGCGTGGTGGGATGGAGGCATGCATATGGTACGCATTACACGCAAGAACTCAGATACTAATATATCCTACACCTCGCCAGTCGGTACATGCTGCACGTCTAAGGCTATATGCTATCCTACGCTATGCTATGCTATGCAAGATGGTCCACGATCCACGTCCGCATACTCAAGACACCAGACACCAGACACCAGACGCACCACACACACGCATACACGCATACATCCACCTGCACCTACGCCCACTTGCCCAACAGCGCCATCAGCGCACACCCGAGACACATGCACGCGAGCGCATACGCGACCTTCCAGTCGCTCGCATTGCGCATGTCCTTGTTGAAGATAAACTCGTGCGCGAGCAGCTCGACGAGCGCGGTGTAGATGAGGATGCCCGCGCTGAGCGCGTCGAGCACGCCCGAGACGATGCTCGCGCGCGTGCTGTCCGGGTTGTACGTCGTGCGCACGCCGAGCCCGATCGCGATCCCGATCGGCGTCGTCAGCCCGTACAGGCACGCCGCCGCGAGCGGGATGTGGTTCAGCCGCGCGGGCAGCTTGATGAATGCGAGGCGCGAGCCGAGCCCGAGGCCTTCGAAGGTTTCTGGTGGTGCGTCGTGTGCTTGAGCATGCGTATAGCTGACGAAGAGGGAGGGAGGAGACGTACGGTGGAAAACAAGCACGACGAGCAGCGTTTTGAATTCCTCGTCGACAGCGAGCGTCAAGCCGATCAGCACACTGCACCGACACACACAGCGGATCAGCCTCCACCCGATAATCCCCACACAAGCAACGCGCACGCACCTATGCAGCACAACACCAAACTCCAGAATCGCAATCCCGATCACCTGCGCGGTCGCCGAGTCGCCCATATCGCTCTCATCGTCGTCATCGTCGTCCTCGTCGCCCTTGCGGTGCTGGTGCTCGTGCGCACTGAGCGCCTTCTCCGAGTCGTACTCCTTCGGCTGCAGCTGTGCCTGGGGCTGCAGCTGCACGGGCACCTCCGCGAGGTCGAGCGAGGACGTGCGCTCGCGCTCGCGGTTGCTGCTCTCGGGCCCGTGCGCGGCGTGGCTGCCGACGTCGTGCCCGTGCGGGTCGTGCGAGACGCCGAGCTTCTTGAGCTTCGCCGTGCCGATGCGGAACGCAAGCAGCTCGACGATGAAGATGAGGTAGATCGAGGCGAGCGCGATGGCGAGCGCGTAGGGCTGCGAGATGAAGAGCAAAATGAGTGTGCGGTGAGTTCGCCATTTGTGAATCGAGGGAGAGGGAGAGACGCACGTATTCCGTCCAGCCAGATCCGAGGCAGGGCGAACCGAGCTCCTCGATGGCCGGGTCGAGGAGGTGGATGAACGCGGTGGCGATGATCACGCCCGAGCCAAAGTACTTCGCAAAGCTGCCCCACAATCAGCTCTCGTGACACCGTACAAGAAGAAGAAGGAAAAGAAGACGCACTCAAATAGCCAATGCGGGACGCCGAGCCAGCGCGTGCGCCGCGCGAGGACGGGGAAGAGCGCGCCGCAGGTGCCGCCGACCCAGATGATGAAGATCGCGGCGACGCGCAGGCCGAAGAAGGTGTCCGCGCCGCCGCCCGAGCCGCAGTTCGGTGCGTCCGCGTCTGCGCTGGGGTCAGGCGAGGCGGTGGGGTCGGGGAGGGGCGTCGAGAATGGGCTCGACATTTTGCGCGGCGAAGTCGGTGTCTCGGAACGGGGTCACGCGAGAGGGGGGATCGGTCGTGATGGGCGAGTGTTGCACGCCTGCGCCGAGGGGTAGAAAAGGGAACGGCGGGAGGGGGGCGAGGAGAGGGTGACCGGGAGGGTCGAGGGCGCGAGGGGGCGACGTGCGGACGGGCCTGAGATGCGAGGATGATCAGTATGAAAACCCCCGACTGCGGCGGTCCTCCTCCTCTGCCCTCCTCCAGATCCCATCGCCCGCGATTCAGATGACGCCAGGCTGACTAACCCTCTTCCGCGTTGCTGCCGCTGTTTCGCCTGTGTCGCGCCTCGACATGCTGCCAAGTATGAAATGAAGACCACGTTGTATCGCTCGCAGAGACAACAAGTAAGTGAGTAGCCTTACGAGCGCATCTTCAGCGATCGCGCAGTCAAGAGGCAATTATCAATGCAGACGCATAGCCGGAGTCGCCCGGAGCGGCGCGCCGGCACGCGGGGCGGGGACCCTCGCGGTCGCCCTCGCCCAGCCACTCGCCATCGATCCATTGCCAGCCAATCACGCGCGCCCAAATCCATGCTGACTCCCCGCCGACGCTGTACACATGTGCTCCGCGACGCCATGCTCCCCACAGTCGAGGCTCGAGAATCGAGCACCTGCCACGGCCGGCCTCGTGCTCCTCCAGCATGACCGTATCCCAGCATCCTTAAGCTTGGAGTAATTCCGACGGTGGTATGAATGATTGCAGTCAGGACTCGGACTCGAGCTGGTAATATCACACTAATTGCATGCAGCTCGCGTCGGGGACTGGAACGCTGCAGGTCCAATTGCAAACTTACCGCGTTGCGTCGGTGCACAAAGCGGGCCGTTCTGTCCCAGGCTCGCAGCGCGGGGCCTGCCGCCCACCGCTGCGGTTCTCGTTCTCGCTGCCATTCCCGATAGCGATTGCAAAAATACGCGCCAGCCGTGCCTGTGCACTGCTCTACGACTTCTGGCCGCCAGTTGCGCTCTGAGGCCTTCGGTCGCCGCGGCCCTCAAGGATGAAGCGACTGCTGCTAGGTGAAACATGCGAAAATGCAGCGCATCGACGACTGCACCAGTCGCTCTGCATACCTCTCCACGTGGATTGCAAACCGATGCGGCGGTAGCAATACAAACAGAAAATAAAAAGGGGGACATGATGCTCACTGCGAGGGTCCCGTTGACGGCTGATGCTCCATTAACCAGCACCAGCACCAGTACTCCTGGACTGAATTGAACCGTAAATTTCACCGCACGCAACAAGGAAAAACAGGCACACACCGGGGACTGGGGCACCGAAAAGTAGACCGCAGGGCGAGTTGCAGCGGTCGTCCACCCGCTTAAACCCGCCTAAATGATAGTCAATGGATCCCTATATTCGTGTACGTTATCCACACGAAGTAACTGCTGTATCTGTCCAAGAGTTGGCAAGCACCGCCCCGCTTCGAAGCCTGAAGAGCAGACTGACACCTGCCCCGAGAGCCTGTGGATAGGGTGGTAGAGCTGTACCAGCCGGGCACCACGGGCTCAATGCCGCAAGCGTGTAGGGCAGGTTCCAAGACGGGATACGACATCCGAGAACGAGGACAGCCGCAGTCGGATGCCTGGCGCCAGCAGCGTTCCTGGCCGCCCACAGATCCTCACTGCCACTGTCCATCCCTGCCACTGCCTCTGCCGCTGTCAAACCCAGGAACGTCAATACTCAACACCACCCAAATGCGTCCATGCAAACGCCCAATATGCACCGAGGCGTTCCATATTGGAAGGCCCTGCCCTGGCGCCGGGTGAGAGTGTCGGCGATCAGCGCGCGGACATGCATGCGCGCTGCTCAGGTTGGTAGGCGTATTTCCTTTCGCGATGGTATATCTTTTTTTTTCGGCACTCCGCGCGTCTCAAAAGTCGACGTCTGCGAGCCCGCGACACGCTATGCACCCTCCGTGCTCGTCGGTCTGCACGCCCACCACGTGGAGAATGGACAATCCAGCCGCTGAAACAGCACAACGAGGGCAGAGAGGGCGATAGTATCGCTGCATTAAGCGAGCGGCGGGAAGCGGGGCGGCCGTAGAGAGACTGCAGTGTCACGGAGCCTGAGGGTCAATTTTTGCGCGGAAAGAGCCTGAGGGCGCTCTGATTTCCTGGAGCTACATCCCGGACCTACGGATTGCCCAAAAAAAAACTTTGGACGTGGGTGGGGCGTGCGGTGTCGTTTCAGCAATGCGGCATGAGAATTGGGCGTCGGCGGACTCGGTCTTGGAGCGCGACGAGTTGGGTAGGTGGCATTATTTTGGCAAGTGGTGCCCGTTTGCGCCGTGCCGTCCCGCGATGGCGTGTGTGAAAGAGCGGCATATGCAAGTGAAGGAGGAGAAAAGGGGGAGTCACTGGAATGCTGGTGTACACGGCGTCTTTGGGGTCGGTGCTTTTGTGATAAGTAGGCTGGTTGCAGCTGCGCCAGTGTAAGCATTGCGAAGACTGCCGACGACATTTAGTTCATTATCCGTCAAAGTCAGTGGAGGAAGAGCGGCGTGCTGATACTCGCACTGACTGGCTGGGAAATTCGTCACTTCTAGTTGTATCTGGACAGGTAAGAGGATCAGTTGGGTTGAAGAAGGTTGGGATCCGACTTGTTCAAGGAACCAGATCTGACGTGGGGTGGCAAGATTAGATTAGATCGCATCTCCCAAGAGCAGATTAGATTAGATCGTGAGATCGAGACAGATCTGCGCGTGTTGCAGTCGCGCCGCTTCCACTCCGAGTCCGAAATCAGGCATGAAATTTCGGTGCAGGTTGTTGCCAAGAAGCAGAGTCCACTCGGGGGACGACATGATTTCACGACAAGATCATCAACCCCTCAACT